CGAGAATAGAGGAAGGAAGAAAAAAAAAGAAAAGCCCCCCAACCCTGACCATTATCCATCAAGGAAAAGGAAAAAACAAATACAGGGGGCTTGAGAAAAGCAAAGATGGAAAGGAGGGACCCCACAAGTCTGTGCTGACCATGGCTGGAGAAAAAATGGCATAGAGGGGGAATTTTTCAAAGAGAACACTAGTTCCTGTGATCTTGGGGTCCCCAATGAATTCCCTTAATTTCCAAGAGATTTCCTCACACTTCCTGTTTTGACTATGGGACAGGAAGTGAGAGGAAATCTCCCCAAAGACACACAGTTGGCAAAAAAATAAAACTGCCAGGGGTTATAACCCTTCCTTTGCCTATAGTTCTACTTGTAATTTGTACACTTGGGGGATTTTTTCTCCCATCAGCGGAGGAGCCCTTGTGACCTCCACAGGGGCGCAGGGCTGTCTATGGTCACCTGAGCGGTTGAGAAAGAAATGGGAGTTGCTGCCTCCCTAGCGGCAAGCCGTGCCTGTCGGTTGCTGTAAACTTCCCTGACAGCTCGCCCCGGTCCCGGGCGTGTGGAGATAGGCGATCGTAGCGCTGCGACCCCGTCCTGTGATCGTGCTCTGTGCACACACCCGGGGAGCTCCTGTATACCGGGTGGGCTGTTCCGGGCCAGGCCTCGCCTCTCCACTCTGTCACTTCCTGTCCCGGCCGGTCTCGGCTGTCTCCTCTCGGTGTAGGCCTTCTGTGGCCCCGATGGATTTTACATAGTGTGACCGACCGTCTTCCCGTGTCCCATGGCGTCGGCTGTCCGGTGCCCGGCGCTGTGCTGCTGCCGCCGCCCTCTCCACCCCGGGCCAGGCCCGGACTCCCCGCTGCCCTTTCAGCCAGGACCTCCTGACCCAGCTTCGGCCTCCAGCTTCCAGCTCTACCGGCTGCATCACTTCCACCTGGGGCTGGAGCTGAGGCCGGAGACCCGGGAGCTGTCCGGCTGCTTGGTGCTTGAGCTGAACCCTCTGGTGCCGGGCGGGCCGGCTCTGGTTCTGGACGTTCACCCGGTGCTCCGAGTCAGCTCTGTACGGTGTAGAAGAGGGGGACGACAGAGCAAGAAGAGCGATAGGCCGTGTTCATGTCCTCCTAGTGACCACTCTACTCCTACCAGTCACTACCCCTGGAACCCTGAGGACCCCACCCATGGGTGCCAGTGTCAAACAGACATGGCGCCCTCACATTCTCCATCCAGCATTCACACCATGGACCCTTCATGCTACGCCTCCCCTCAGTCATCTACAGTGAGCCCCACTACGGAGGAATCCTCACCGATGGTCACCCCAGAACCCCTCGACCTGTCTATTCCACGTTCAAAAAGTTCAACGACTTTGCCACACACCTTGCACCTGCTGATGTTTCCAACCATGTTTCTGCTGGTATGGGTTGTCCCACCATCAATGGTCATCAACCTCCAGGATCTTCTCCTAGAAGTTCTGCTTCGGCTCCGTTTACCACTACTGCTTCCCCCGTTACTGATCTGTCTTGCCATTCCTCTGCGTCTCACTGGTCCTCGGACTCTCTCGCGTCCCCAACGCCCGACAGCGGCTTTGCCACTTCTAGTATGCCCGCTCCCTTTTCCTCAACAGACATTCCTTCGTTGGAAGCACTGCCTTGCACTTTTAGCCAGCCATGTGAGTTCCATAGTGCCAGCGACTCTGCGCCCACTGACTCCACTTGCTGCTTTCCATTGGACTTTAGGGTTGAAGAGTTTACAGATTACGGCTCTGCGCTTACCATCACTGTGCCTGATACCCTGCAAAGGAGCGAGACGTTCCAGGTCATTGTACACTACATCACAGGCGAGGGTCCTGCGGTGAGTATCTAAATGCCACAGGACTGAGGATGGTTGTTGTTACCAAGAAATTCTAGAAAGGAAAATAAAAAAAGTAATTCCTCATGATCCAATGCAGTAGTTCACTCCCTGACTCTGAAAGTTGCTAGCTTCATATTGTCAGAAACCTCTACATACATACTACAATTGCCTGGGCCTGGTAATGGATTGCTAAGGCGCGGAGCACTGCCTTGTGGGGTTGGAAAGGGATCTGCACATTTGTCCCGTTGGAAGTTTTGGTGTTTTAGGGGCGTGCCAAGGTCATAGTGGTGGGTAGGAGCTCAGTGGTATGAAACTTCAGAAAATAATTATTTAAACAATGGTGTTACATTTACAGCACCACACCCCAAAATGTGTATAAGAAACCAAATCGTAAAGTATGGGGCCTTAATGGTGCTTACACTTTGCAGGAAGGAAACAAAAAAGCAATACACGGTGGCTTAGTGGTTAGCATGTCTGCCTTGCAGTAAAATGGGTCATGGGTTCGATTCCCGACCATGGCACCTCCTGCATGGAGTTTGCATGTTCTCCCTTGTGTGGGTTTCCTTTGGGTACTCTGGTTTCCTCCCACACTCCAAAGACATGCTGGTAGGTTAATTGGATCCTGTCTAAATTGGCCCTAGTATGTATGAATGTAAGTTAGGGACCTTTAGATTGTACGCCCCTTGAGGGTTAGGGACTGATGTGAATGTACAATATGTATGTAAAGCGCTGCGTAAATTGACAGCGCTATATAAGTACCTGAAATAAATAAAATACACTCACTGGCCGCTTTATTAGGTACACCTTGCTAGTGCCAAGAAAATATACCACCACCAACACCAGCCCCTGAACCACTGATACAAGGCAGGATGGATCCATGCTTTCATATTGTTTGTGCCAAATTCTGACCCTACCATTTGAATGTCGCAGCAACCAGTGTGCCCATTTTCATCCATACTACTGCTGCTCACTGGATGTTTTCTCTTTTTCGGACCATTCTCTGTAAACCCTAGCCGCAGCAAAGGTGAAAAAGAGCCGCGGTTTGCCGACACCCGTGCTAGGGTTTACAACCATTTTAAAGTAGAACTATAGGCAAAACTTTAGTTTTTTTTCTTCATTTTTGAAGGAAGGGTTATAACCCCTGTCAATTTCTTTTTTTGCCACCTGTGTCCCATTGGGGAGATTTACCTTCACTTCCTGTCCCATAGCCAAAACAGGAAGGGAGAAAATATCTGCAAATTAAGGGAATTCCTTGGGGACCCCGAGGTCACCAGAACTAATAATGCCATTGGAAAATTACCCCTCTATTACTTTTCTTGGGACAACCCAAAATTTTGTTTTTCTTATACTTTTAACTATTGATTATAATGGTAAAACAGATCAAATAGAGAGGGGGAATCCACCTAATGGAACAGACAGCAATAGAAAATGGCAGGTGTTATAATCCATCTCTATTCCAAAACGAAAAAAAAAAACGTTTTGCCTTTAGTTATACAATAAACGACTGGTTTTTTTTTTTATATTGTGTTTTTTGTTTACTTTTTGCAAAGTGTAAGCACCATTAACCACTTGCCCTCTGAAAGATTTACCCCCTTTCTGACCAGGCCATTTTTTTGCTATTCAGCACTGCGCTATTTCAACTGGTAATTGCGCGGTCATGCAGTGCTGTACTAAAACAAAATTTATGTCCTTTTTCACACAAATAGTGGTTTCTTTTGGTGGTGTTTGATCGCAGCTGCATTTTTTTTTTTTTTTTTTTGATATGAACAAAAAAAATACAGAAAATTTTCTAATTTTGGTTACAAAAAATATCCAATAAACTCAACATTAGTCATAAATTTAGGCCAAAATGTATTCTGCTACATGTCTTTGTTTATTAATTGGTTTTTGTGAAAGTTATAGTGACTACAAACTATGGTATATATACTGGAATTTACGCAGCTTTTACTTTCTGACTGCCTATCACATTTCTTGAGGTGCTAAAATGACAGGGCAGTACAAAGGACCCCAAATTACCTCTTTTTGGAAAGTAGACACCCCAAGGAATTTGCTGAGAGACATGTTGAGTCCATGGAAGATTTTATTTTTTTGCCACAAATTTTTGAAAAAATGACTTTTTTTTTTTTACACAATGTTATGAATTAAATGATATATTTCTCACATATGCCATGGCCATATGTGGAATAACACCCCAAAATGCATTCTGCTACTTCTCTCAAGTATGGGGATACCACATGTGAGAGATACTTTGGCAACCTATCCACATACAGGCCCCCAAAATCCAATGACCGCTTTCAGAGGGCATATTTCCTCATATCATTTCCCCACTACCTATCACAGTTTTGGAGGCCCTAGAAGGCCAGGATAGTACAAACTCCCCCCCCCCCCCCATCCCCAATGACTCTTTTTTGGAAAGTAGACAATCCAAGGAATTTGATAAAAGGCATGGTTGGTATTTTGCAAATATAAACTTTGCCACAGGGTTTTGAAAATGGGGAAAAAAAAGAAAAAAAAAATTAATTTTTGTTTTCTTTCTTAATTTTCCAAAAACTTTGAGACAACAAATGAGATCTGCAAAATACTCACCATGCCTCTTAGAAAATACCTTGGATTGTCTTCTTTCCAAAAAGGGGTCATTTTGGGGGGGGGGGGGGAGAGTGCTTCTACTATCCTGGCATTTCAGGGCAAACATTAGAAGCTTCTGCCACACATCACCCACTTTTTCAACCATTTGAAGAACAAGCTTTTTCTGACACTTTGTTTACATGAAAAACATTTTTTTTGCTAGAAAATTACTTTGAACCCCCAGACATATATATTTTTTAAAGCAATGGCCCTAGAGAATACAATGGTGGGTGTTGCAATTTTTTATGTCACACAGTATTTGCGTGACGATTTTTCACACGCGAATTTTTTTTTTAAAAAATACACTTTATGTTTTAATATTGATAGGTGACATTTTAAAAGCCTTTACAGGTCACCACTTTATAGGAGGTCTAGTGCTAGAATTACTGCCCTTGATCTGACGTTCACAGTGATACCTCACATGCATGGTGAAATCTCTGCTTCCATACTGACATGGGACTGACGTTTGCGTTTTCCTTTCCCTTTCTGCATGAGCATGGGAAGGAGGGGTGGGAGTGATTTAAAAAAAAAAAAGTTAGTTTTTTTTTTATTTTTTACACTGTCCCTTTTTTTTTTTTTTTTATCACTTTTACGGGTGGAACATGTAACATGTTCCCAAAGGTGAATGTATCCTTTATCCCTTTTGCTGCCAGAGCCCTTTATGCATTTTAGTGCACATGTATAAAAAAAATAATTTTAGGCCTGAAGGTTACACAATCCCCCAAAAGAATAAAATATTGGTAGTTCCAATTTTTTACGTTACACGATATTACCGTAAAAGTCTAGAAAACGCAAAATTTCAGTAAAAAAACACACCTAAGTTATTTTTAGAGCACAGAAAGCCAATAAATTGCCCGCTTTTTTGCTAAATTATAAGAGATGAGGTTGTACCAAGTAAATAGATACCCAACATGTCAATTTTTAATTTGCGTGCCCTCATGGAATGGCAACAAACTTTAGTACTCCTCCGTACCATTTTAATGGTACGGAGGAGGTCTGGTGCTAGAAAAATTGCTCTCATTCTGGCGTGCTCGGCTTGTAACACGTGTATTGCAATTGACGTTTTCATGCGTAGGCACCCGGACCTGTGTGTTTACATTCGTATGTGCGTATATGTGGGGGGGTGGTTATGTACTTGGGTGGAACTTTACAATTAAAATTTTTACTTAAAGTTTTACTAAACCCACAAAAGTAAAGTCAGTCTGTATATGCAGTAAAGCATGCTTGTTATACTCACTGTGGAACCTAAGGGGTTAATCCTTGGCATTGTGTAATAAGGATGTTTGATCCTGTCTTCTCTGATCGTTCCCTTCTTTCAGTGTCTCCTGATAGAACAGAGGCTCGGGGGCAAGCTGCCCATGCTCAGTTTGGTGTGTATGGCTAGATAGTTTTGTTTTTTTCTTGGGAGAGTGCATGTGATCAGCACAGGGCCAGTCAGCACTGTCCAGACAGAGGTCAGGGGTCCTGCATCCTCCTACAGGAGAATGAAAACTCCTCCTACAAGCTCTGCTGGACACTGATAGAAGTCACAAGATTGTTCTAACTGCTGATGAGAAAAGGTATTTAGCAGTTTATATTTCTAAAATAATTGCATTTCCATGTTCTGTGTACTGTGGGAGACCAAATATAGTGAATGCAGGGTCCTGAGTTTAGTGACACTTAAACTTTTTGTTGTCATCACATAGGGGACAAAAAGACCACTGTGATTATTTTGGTGACAGATTCTCTATATTGAGACATCCAGGGTCTAAAAGACCCTGCATGTCTCCTATGTGCTCCACTGAATGTAATGCGGTACATTGCACGGAATTACATTTTTCCCCGGCTATTCTGTCTTTGGGGTCTGGGAAGTGACGTCATACATGTCACTTCTGGGTCAGGTCAAGAAGGGGAGGAGAGCGGACATGTGTCCCCTACTGCTGGCACTTGCAATACCGATCCCAGGCCCACAGATGGGCAAGCAGAGCCCAGGATACATGGGAAGAAGGGGCCTAAAAAAAGGAAACCTGCTGCTTACCCGCAGCAGGGCTAAACGAGGAGAAAAAACACCTGCCTGGTGCCTGGAACTACATGTCCTAGGCATCGGGCGTCCCTGATGTAGCTGAAGAATCCCCTCCTCCCCCTCAGAATACTCCTGAAATGTATAACATCCTTTGCTTAGGCCTGGAATTCAGGTAGAGAGTGAAGAAATGTAAAAAAAAAAAAAAAATACAAATTGTGAGTGCAATGCCAGGATCCTGCAGACTCTCAGTAAGCTGTCTGCCTATACCTCTGATACAGGCAGGCAGTTACTTTATGGCAGGAAATATCAATGGACTATGAGAGCACTCACCAGTGTTCTCGTAGTTCATTGAGAACTACAATTCATCATCTGCAATGGCTAGTAGTACCTGTAGTCTAATTCATTCACATAAAACTGTGAACGAATGACAGGGCTGTGTGGGCGGAGCCCCTCACAGAAACACTGTTTTCAATTTGCAAAAGCAGGTGCTTGGAGAAGATCCCCACCCACTGTTAAAAAAACACTGGCATGTTACATATTACACCCTTAATATGGGTATAACATGCTCTTAAAGATGAACTTGGCCTTTAAATTGCTTATTAGCTTGTATATCACTTTCAAATGCCACTGAGCACTAAAGGTCATTCATCATACCAAAGAATTCAGAAAATATCAGCTCCAAGATGACACAGATTAAAGGCATAGTTCACCTTTACCAAAAACTGCTTATGCAGGTAAGGGGCTTGTGTAGATAAAAACAAGCTGTGTGGCATTGACCAAAGTTGAATAATGTCCTGCATGCAGGACCTTTGGTGTGCTTTCAGAAAATGCACCCAAACCACTGGACATAATAGAAGACTAGTCCATGGAAAAGCGCAGCTAACCTGCACAAAAACTGCAGGTGTGCTGCGGCCAAAGTGCAGCAGATCAGTGTGAAGCCACTTTTAAGACTCAAGCTACAATCAGACCAGAGTGCCTTTATTATGAAATTTAAGAATGAATTGCTTCAGGATGGCTGCAGCTATAGAGGTCAGTAAGAGCTTGTTCTAAAGCCCATTTATTGCTTGATAAAAAAAAAATTGTAATTTGTTCTATAAGATAAATGTAAATAATCCAGTAATCCTAGCGGAACCCACTTCTAATGGGTGTTGCAAATGTGCAGATCTAAGATGTCAAGTGCACACCACCAAAGCCTCCTAGAGATGAAGAAATCATTTTGTTGGTGTAAAGCTTCAGCTTCTAATAAAAACGTAGTTTTGCTCATATTTCGTCGGTATTAAAATATCACATGTAACAATTTTCTTACAATGTTTTTCAGATATGGTGGCTGGATCCTGAACTCTCCTATGGAAGCTCAGAGTTGTTTGTGTTTACTCAGGGGCACTCTGTTTGCAATCGCTCCTTCTTCCCATGTTTTGATACACCAGCTGTAAAGTGTACTTACTCTGCCTCTGTCAAGGTATGTTAAACGGCATTTGTTTTGATAACCATTTTATTTGCAGCAGCTCCGATGTTGAGATTGTGCTTACTTATAAAAGTGATTCACTGTTGTGATGGACTTCTGTCAGCATCAGTAGGCGTGATGGACTTGGATCAGTATCGGCAGGCGTGGTGGACTTGGACTGGCATCATAGGGAGCATTGACTTGGATCAGCATCACTAGGTGCAGGGTCCCAAGTGCCAGTTTGCCTGGAGTTCCAGCTTCCTATTACAGTGATAATTGGCTTCACAATAGCTGATGGCATTCTTAAAATCTAGTTCTGGAATTGCCTCAAAGTGGAATACATCAATAGCAATCTTTACCTGTAATCAGTAATTCTTCAGCTAATGAGATCAATATAACAGGTAGTAAATCTCAGTCCTGATTTTATTTACAGTTGCTATGTTAAGCAAAGTTGCACACAGATCACCTGCAACAGGTAATGGTTGCTTGATCTTCTATCTTCTATTCCATCCAAACCACAACAGACAAAAAGATCAGCACCTTCTAAAATTTTAGGTGTATTATGGAAAATCCAGTACAAGCATATTGGCTATAGCTAATCCCATACCAAGGAACCCATTGGATTTAGCACCAGCCAGCAACTGTGCCTGCTTGCTCTTGTATTTTTCACTGGTTGTCTGCCCAGATAAGTGAATTTTATTTGTGCCTAGCCATTATGGGTGCAGCTGTTGCATGTATCTTGATTTTTAACTTGAATTTGCTTCCTGGGGGCTTGTTTTGCCATGGCATTTGGCACTGTCATTGCATTCTTATGGACTTGAAATATTGATGTTGATGTTGTCTGATGCAATGTGCGACACCCTTGGTGTCATGGTTGGTACAGGATTAGGTATGACTGTTATGATTTTTTTTTAATAATTCCACTATAGTAAAGAATAGTTTTAATTTAATGTATTTAGATGTGCTGAACAAATTGTCTATAACAGTTCTTATGGACTGCAGTAATGGCGCCTCAATGAAATGACAGCACATCTGACACTTTGAAAATCCTGGCATATTTTTAAGCATGACTTCACATCATCAGAGTCTGACTTTTGTATACGTGGGATGGTATCTATTTATAGAACAATGGAGGTTAATGGATTAAATAGTGAGGTTGTCTGGATCAGACTAGTGAAGGTGTAAGAATAGGATTGTAATGAAGTGTTCGAGAATCTCTGTACAGCAGCGGTTTCTACAATTGGTGGTTTTGTTAGATGGATAAATATACTATAATAATCATGTAACTGAAGAGATTATACCTTCCTGGAAATCTCTGTATTTGTATATTGACTGTTCTTTTTAAGGTTAATACACATGATCAGAAAATCGTACGAAAAATACCGCTTTCAAAGCATTCGCATGATAAACTGATTGTTCGTACACAGCTTTCGTCTGAAATTTTTCGAAGGGACAAGCAGGCAAAATGTTTCTTGTACGATACCACAGTGTACAATTTTTGTTTAATTGGTACAGTTTTTGCCTGAAAATACAATACAGTAAGTTACATCGCTTTCAAATTTTGATTCTGTTGTGCAAGAATTTTCGCAACTTTAGTAACCTCTTCACTTTCGAAATGAGACTAGCATGCAAAAATACAAAAACGGACGATCATTCGTCCGATATTCTCATCATGCATAAGGGGCCTTAGGATCAGCTCTGTTTTACTTATTGTATGCAAATTGAAATAAATGATAGCTGTGTGCTGATTGATTTTGGTTGCAAGTTTTAGAAGAACCTTTATTCCCTGCCATGGATGCTGCAAGAAAATGTTATACTGAGCAGTGTTAATTCTATTTTCTCATATATACTTTTTTCAGGCTCCAGCAGGAATTCGGGTGCTTATGAGCTGTACTCACAGTTATTACATAAAAGAAATGGGCATCTTCCATTTCTACATGGAGCATCCTGTTCCTGCCTATTTAGTGGCCCTGACTGCAGGTCATTTACTTCCAGCAGATATTGGCCCCAGGTAACAGCATTTCATATGGTTGTATTCATCCACTAGATGCATTTTGTTCACTGTAGTATTTTTTTATTTTCTTCTGCTATTACTTGGTTTTATATATTTTACTGAAATTCTTTTTTTCCATCACGCTGTTTTATATGTAAAATAGTTTATTGTAAATTTTGCATTCCTGTGAAACATGCATTGATTTATTTAGTAAGCAATGTTGTTTGATGACTGAACAGTACCTTTTGGGAAATGTTATCTTTGCTCTATTAACAAATAGTATTCCACTATTTCCATCTTGCAACAATTTGGGCTGCTGTTTGTTTTCTAACAGAAGTCGGGTGTGGGCTGAACCCTGTGTGCTGCCTTTGGCTGTTGGTAAACTAGCAGGACGAGTAGAGCAGTGGCTTCAGGCTGCAGAGAGATTGTACGGACCCTATATCTGGGGAAGGTAAGATCAGATACAACTATAGTTAAACAGATAGGTTTTGTTAGTTTCTATAGACAATTAAACAATCAAGTCATATGAAACAGTTGCTTAAAGGTTACCTGCAGTTTTATAATAAAAGTGGTATTCCACACTGTCTCCCAACCACATATCAGACACATACTAATCCACCTTCAGCATATGCCCACGTTTTAACATTTGGACAAGAATCTAAGAGGATGCTGGAACACACAAGCCCTGCACTGGTTGTGGCACACAAGAAGTTAGATTTAATTCTGTAAGGTCTGCACTTTTTCAGATTTTATGGGATGGATCACATTGTCTTTAATGTGACCAATAAATTGTCTATAGGCATAACATAATTGGCTGGATTGAGCTAAGTGGTGAAATTAATGAAGCAGTTAGAAATCCTTGGCTAAGACGAGAGACAGCAGCGCCACTCTACGTGTAGATGGTTAAAATCAGGCAGATTTAATAGTAAAATTGCACTCACATAGATAGGTAACAGGTAGGCATGTCAGCTGATGGAGGTCCAGTGGGAGCATCAGATCCTTTGGCCGCGCTGTGGGTGTTTTCCTGCTGCTCCGGTTGTGTCCAGGGCTCGGAGAGTAGCAGAGGGGTGCAGGGAGGCTCACTGACGGAGTGAGTATGCTCCGAACATGCGCCATCTTGGAAACCCGGTGCATATGGTGACATCATCCCTGTGAGCCTCCCTGCGCCCCTCTGCTACTCCCCGAGTCCTGGACACCACCGGAGTGGCGGGAAAACACCCACAGCACGGCCAAAGTACCTGATGCTCCCACTGGACCTCCATCACTTGACATGCCTACCTGTTGCCTATCTATGTGAGTGCAATTTTACCATTAAATCTGCCTGATTTTAACCGTCTACACTTAGAGTGGCACTGCTGTCTCTCTTCTCTACCTGCATTAGGAGTATCTACAAGCTCTTACAGCCGGCTGCCTCCTCGGACAAGTCCATACTACTACAAGCCCCCCACTACAGATGGACATGGACACCACCTCCACATGGACCTTCTACTAACCCCTATTGCTGATGGTCCATCCCCAAAGGCACACAGGGGAAATGCTTCTTAGCGTTCCCTCCCCTCACTCACCTAGAAATCCTTGGCTGATTGCTTTTATTTACACTTTCAAAAGCTGATGCTGAGCTCCTAGTAGTACGTCTGTGTCTGCCTCTTTTACCCATTGCCAGGGGCATATACAGGAACACTTGGTGGTCTCAAACATTTATGTTTTTGCATACAGCATCTATGTGTTTTACCTGGCACTACTGAAATTGTGGTCAGATGGCACTACTGAAATTGTTGGGAATCACAATCCTCCTTAATCAAGCACTTTCTGCTTCTATATTTAAAAGGAAAGTAAATCATGCTTTCAGCTTGTAAATATTTTCAGTTCTTTTTATATCATCTAATCATTTTTTTTTTTATTAAAGGAAAAAAAAGTGATTGTTTTGTAATGATCTGATAGTTTATTTATCTTCTTTGTTCTCTGCTTACTTGTTTTCAGAGATACTCCCTGTAGAACCCCTTGTTTATATATTCCCTTAAAAGTCTTTTTCACCCAGAACCCATTTGCCCACTGCCCTTCCCTGCCTCCATTCCAGGTACGATATTGTCTTCCTGCCCCCATCCTTTCCGATTGTTGCCATGGAGAACCCGTGCCTGACATTCGTCATCTGTTCCATCTTGGACAGTGAAGATTTCTTGCTTATTGATGTCATCCATGAAATTGCGCATGGCTGGTTTGGGAATGCAGTCACTAATGCCAGCTGGGAGGAAATGTGGTTAAGTGAAGGCTTGGCAACCTATGCCCAGCGCCGTATCACCACTCTTGTTTATGGTAAGTGATTTGCAGCATGATACGAAATGTCTTTCCCTCCTGCTCATGTTCTATCACAAGAAATTGTCAATATCCATAGCCCGTTCCAAACATGTAAACGCTATCTCTAGCAACATAATAGTTTTAGTTTTTGTGGTGTTTACAGGAAAGCTGCATCACATTAGGGCTTCTTGCCATTACAAAGCCAAGTTACATTGTCAGAATCTACGAGTTTTCCTTTATATTGTAGAACTAGCAGTTATTGGTTGCGATCGTGACATGAGACATGGCATTAACGGATGGATAGGGCATAGACCCACAACTATAAAAAAAAAAAAAAGTCTACTAAGGAATTATTTCCGCATATTATCTAACATTGCCTGGCAGTGCTGAATCATAGCTTTCTAAACTCTGCTAACAAATTACATATTCTTTTAAAGCCCAATTGAACTTTTATTTAAAATCGGCTAAATACACTCCAGGTTCATTACAACAAAAGGTGTGCAAAGTCTTGCAGATCGTTTTTTTTGGTAAGCAGCCATCTCTTGAGTAAAATGTCTTTCTTTATCGTACATTATGGGACACAAAGCAGACTATTCATGACTATGTGGGTTATATACCACCAATAGGTGAATGGACACGGGCAGATCAATCAAACAGGAAGTCTTCCCCTATATAACCCTTCCTACACAGGAAGTACTTTAGTTTTTTCGCCAGTGTTTGTAAGCTGGATGGTCACTGATGTGCTGATTGTGCTCTTGGAGCATACTTGGGGGTCCGAAATGGTTCTTCTGTGAATCAAGTACTGAAATTGGATCCATTCAGGAAGCTAAAGCTGTTAGCTAAAGTGGATGGTACCCGAGCCTTTTTGGATAGGAAGGAAGAATTCTTGAGGTTTGCCTTTATTGCAGCCTTACAGCACCAAACCCTTTGTAATGGAACCCTGTGCACTGTTTGTTCTGCCTAAGGTGCTTTCCAGCCGGGTGCTATGCAGGTCCAAGAGGGTAGACCCCAGATGTAAGCACTTGAAGGTCTTTTTTGACAGGGCCTGCCGTGATAGGTGAAGGTTGGACTCCTGTTATGATTCAGAATCCTGTGGCGTGAATGTTAACTTTGCATTTTGCAGTGTTTCTATGAAAATGTGACTGGTAATTCTCCTGGTGGCCACTGGGGATAGAGTGCTGATTGATCTGGCTGGGCCATGCTCTGTGTGTCTCTGGAGTATTTTTTTTTTTTTTAATTTAAATATTTATTTATTTTCCATACAATATGCACATTTCTTCATCATTTTCATATACAAAAAGAAAACATTTTCCAAACCCTTAATTACTTTTCTACCCCTGATTTATTCCCTCAACGGCCCCCAACCCACTCCAAAAACCCACCCACCCCCTAAAATATCCCCATTTCCCCATTATTAAACCCTCCCCCTCTGCATAGTTCTAATAACTTTTTTTCCCAAATAGAATATACACGTTCTTCCTCCTCTTCTTAAATTGTTACTTCATAGATCTTGCTACAAACTCTTCCCATTTTCTCCACTTCTTATAAAATAGCCCCATCTTGTCTTCTTGCATGTAATATAATTTCTCCATCTTGCACGTCTGATTTGTTCTTTCTACCCAATCCTCCTCCCTCGGTATCTCTGGTCTATGCCAAAACCTAGGAATCAGACCTTTTGCCGCGTTCAAGTACTGCCATACACCGGAGTCTTTATATCTATTTACTGGTAGATCTGTACTATGTAATAGACACACCTCTGGGTTCAACCCTATTTTTATCCCAGTGATTATCTCAATTAATTGGACTATTTTCTCCCAGAAAGCTTGTATCATTGGGCACTCCCACCATAGATGATATAAGGTACCTTCTTCCGCATCCCCTCCAACATTCTGAAACCTTTTCCCCATTCATCCTGTGTTCCACGTTCGGTGCAATGTGCCATCTCGATAAACATTTATAATTTACCTCCACCTCCCTCATACTTATATTCTCGTGTATCAATCTATATATTTTCCCTTGTTTATCCTCATCTATCTCTATTACCAGATCTCTTTCCCATTTTGCTATATACATTGGCTTTGTGTGTGTGACTAACTCAGTGAGAATCTTATATACCTTAGCTGTGCCCCGTTTCCCTTCTCCACGTGCATCCAACAACCTCTCAAACAAGTTCCAGTCCTTTCTCATTCTCAAAGGTTTCGGAAGATTTCTAACAAAGTGTTTTAATTGGTGATATCTCCATTCATCTATTTTAATAAAAAGTTCTCTTTTATCTTTTTTTCAAATCCTTAAGTGTTCTCAACTGCTGTCCATCCAAAATATGTCTCAGTTGAATATCCTCCTTTTTGAACCATTTTCCTATACTCTCCTCCCTACCCGGGGGAAAAAAAATCTGTGTTCCTAAGTGATATTAATTGTGAATTGAAATCCCATTTCATATTTTTGTGCAAATTATCCCACACCTTTAAAACATTTAATGTGAAAACACTCGTGGAATCTTTTAAACCTCTATACTTTGCTGGGACCCATATACTTTTACTCACGGTAGTTCCGCTTAATTCATTCTCAATCCCAACCCATCTTTTCCCCTCTGGGTTATGTGTCCAGTCATACGTTCTCGCTAAGATTACAGCTCTATAGTACCTCTTAATGTCAGGCAATCCCAAGCCTCCCTTCTCCTTATTTCTACTCAGCAGGTCGTATGATATTCTAGGTTTTTTGTTTTTCCATATATATCTTGTTAGCATCTTTTTTATTACTTTAAAGAATACATCCGGGATTTTAACTGGGACCATCTGAAATTTATATAGGATTTTAGGTACAATTACCATTTTTATCAGATTTATACGCCCTATCCAAGACGGGTTTCCTCTTCCCAATTTCCTTAGTTCCTCCTTGATCTCATTTAAGAGTGGGATATAATTTAGCTTATATAAGTTCGTAACTGAAGCAGATAATTTAACCCCTAAATACTTTATCTCTCTGTTTTTCCCATATAAAAGGGAATTCTTTTTGTATTTTTTCTTTTTCGCTAATTGGGAGATTAACGTTTAAAATCTCAGTTTTTGATGGATTAATTTTCAGGTTTGATAACTCCCCATATTCCTTTAAGCTCTTCATTAAGTTGGGAAGTGCTATCCTCGGATTTCCCACATAAAACAACAGGTCATCTGCAAAAGCTGCCACTTTATGATCTTCCCCTCCTATCTGCACCCGTTATATCTATATTTTTCCTAATTGTTGCCAGCAAAGGTTCCAGCGACAGCACATACAACAATGGGGACAGTGGACATCCCTGTCTAGTTCCATTTGACATTCCTATAGTTTCTGATCTCTCCCCATTAACCACAATGACCGCGGAAGATTCTCTATACAACTTTCCTATCCACTCTCTCATTCTTGCTCCCACACCTAAGGTCTCCAGAGTATCCATCATAAAGCTCCAGTTTACTCTATCAAATGCTTTTTCAGCATCTATCGACAGAACTACTACCGGCGTCTTCCCCTTCCTGGCCTTCTGGATAAGCAACAGAGTTCTCAAACCGTTGTCTCTACCCTCTCTCCCTGGCACAAATCCCACCTGATCAGCATGGATCCAATCTGGCATTAGATCTTTTAATCTATTTGCTAGGACCTTTGCGTATAACTTTGTGTCGATGTTCAGAAGTGATATTGGTCTATAACTGGAGCATTGAGAAGCATCCTTCCCCCCCTCCTTTTGGATCAGTACTACATGGGCTTGCAAAGATTCCCGCCTCATCTCCATCTCCCCTCCCAGGGCATTCATATATTTCTCCATTTTTTGTAGTAACAAGTCACTATATTTTTTATAGTACCTCACTGTATAACCATCTGGGCCTGGGCTTTTCCTCTTTATGGTACTTTTTAATGCACTTTTTATTTCTTCCTGCGTGATTTCCATATCTAGGGAATTCAATAGATCCTCACTTAACTTCGGTATTCCTGCATTTTCTAAATACACTCTTCTTTTTTCTCTACTCTCTTTACCACTTATATTTACTAGGTCTTGGGAGGCAATGTTATACAACTTACTATAGTATTCTTTGAACACCCTAGTAATCTCTTTGGTAGAATATACCAGTTCTCCTTTGGGATTTCTTATTTTTTCTATATAGTTCCTGTTTTTCTTTTCTCTCAAGGCTCTCATTAAATATTTACCTGGTCTATCTGCCCATCTATATCTCTCACTAGCAACTTTATTAAAAACTCTTCTCTTCTCCTCCTCCAACAGTAACCCCAGTTCTCTCTTTTTTTACTACCTTTTGTCTTATCTCTTCTTTTATTTTTATGTACCTGCTCCAAATCACTTATTTCTTTTAACAGCCCAGTAAGTTTCTCTCTTCTTTCCCTTTTCGTTTTTGTCCCCAATCGCAATCAATATACCTCTTATGTAGGCCTTATGGGTCTCCCACCCTGTGGCCACCGACACCTCCCCTGTCTCATTCTCCTGAAAAAATCTTTCGATTTCTTCTCTAATTTTCCGATCCACCTCCTGGTCTAGGAGGAGAGCCTCATTCAACTTCCAACCTATCCCTCCGGACGAACATCTCCCCCACCTCACTTTCAATGAAACCGGAGCATGATCAGAGAGAGACATCGCTTCTATTTCTATTTTGTCCACCCTTTCTATGAGTTGATGGTCAACTAGTATGTAGTCCAATCTGGAATACATCCCGTGGGCATTAGAGAAATATGTATAGTCTCTCTCTTTTTCCATGTGTCACTCTCCAAATATCCACTAATTGACATTCATGAATCACACCCTTCAGAGTTTTCAAAGCTCTACTTCCCTCTCTCTGCACAGATGATGTCGTGTCCATTTGTGGGTCCATGCAAAAATTCAAGTCCCCCGCCACTATCAAAAGACCCTCCTTAAAGGCCAACACTTTTCTCAAAACTCCCTTCAGGTATTCCTCTGGTCTCTTATTTGGGCAATAAATATTCACGATTGTGCATTTCTGTTCTTGTAATCTACCCTTCAATAATAAGAATCTCCC